GGAGAGGAGAGGAGAGGAGAGGAGAGGAGAGGAGAGGAGAGGAGAGGAGGAGGAAGAAAAATCAATCCTGATGCTTTTAAGAGCTGGGACTCTGGGTCGAGGCCTTCAGAGTTCACATCTTCACTCCTCAGTCGGTATAAGCTACTCACGCTCCTTCGCCTCAGCTTTCTCACGAGCCCCATGGTTTTCTCACGACCAAGGCTCAGGGGCGTTTGTGAGGGTGCTCAGAAGCACAGAGCTGAGGGCACCAAAAATACAGTCCAGGCTGCAGTGTGACTCCAAGAACAGGGCTCTTTCCAGTCATCCACAAGCAAGTGCACACCCGGAAGGAGGACTGAGGTGCGTGTTTAAAAAGCTGCTGGGATTAGGGGGGGACTTGGCCAGAGGCTGATCACCAACAAGAACAGGTACTCAGGCTGAGTCCTGCATGTTTACCAACCCCTGAGATGCTGACATCCCTGGAGGCTGCACCAGATTTCTCAAGATCACAGTCTTTAAAGGAGCCAACTACTGGGTGGTTCTGCCGTGGGTGGAGTGGCTGGTGAGTTCAAACCTCCAACCTTCTGGTTAACATCGCAGTGCATAACCACTGCACCATGAGGACTCCTCTGGCCCCAAACCAGCCCCGGGTGAAACCCTTCTCTGCACCATCTCCCCACACAGCAGTGATACAGCAGAGGCACAGAGGACCCGATGAATGTGAAGATGTGAGCTCAGTTAGACAGACACTGCCCCCGCCATCAAGCTGGCTCCAAGGTCAACCTCACGGGCAATGATACGGGTGTCAGTTACTAACAAGCTCATCTGCTAACTGAAAGGGCAGTAGTTCAACTCCCACAGGCACTTCAGGGGAGAAGTTTGACAGTCTCCTCCCCAAACCTGAGGCCCACAACACTGTGGGGTACAGTCTTCCCGACACACGTGGGGTCAGTGTGAGTGAGGGTCAGCTTGACAGCAATCTGTTACCATCTGCTCGTTTGTTTAATGTAAACTCAGAAGACAGGACACAGCAGTCAGGGCACCCGGCATTCAACTCCCAGCACGCACTTCACATTCTCTGAGCCTCAGCTGCTCATTGTTATACAGAGATCACTAACAGCTACCTCAGAAAGCCAGGCTAGGACTGAGAGACCGACGCACCACCTGGAAGATGACAGGCGCTCAATAAATCAGGAATAAATTAACAAGTGTGGGGACAGGAAGGCCAGTGGATGCGTGAGGTGAATTGTCTTAGGTTTCCATCAATAGGGAGAGAACAGAGAAGTCTGAGGCTTATGTCTGATGGACCATCAGAAAGTCACTCAATCTGAATAAACAAGGAACAAATACATTCTTCAGAAAAAATCGGTATTTTGTTAGAAGCCCTGATTGTGTGGTGTACTGGGCTGCTAATCAAAAGGTCAGCTGTTCAAATCCACCAGCTGCCCATGTGAGATGGAGAGTCTCCCATAAGGAGTTATGGCCCAGAAATGCAACGGAGGCTCCCGTGCGTCAGAATCCACCTATCAGCACTGGAGTTCTGTTTGAGGATTTCCCCCCCCCCCATTTGTTCATTAGTCTGGGAACTTTTGGGGGAAAGTCATGTTGTTGTGTGCCACAGAGTTGAGCACGACTCACAGCGACCCTGTGGACAACAGGCCTGAGCCCTGTCCTATCCTGCATCGTTCTCTTCTCTGACACGCTCAAGCCTGTCGCTGCAGTCACTGTCAGTCCACCTGATTGAGGGTCTTCCTCCTCCTTTACCATCCCTCCCTCTTCCAAGGAATAGCCTCTCCTAGCGAACTGCCCAAAGTATGCAAGATAAAGCTTTATCATCTTTGCCTCCAAGGAGCACTCTGGCTGCACCTTCTCCAGGACATACTTGTTATTTTGGCCATCCATGGGATATTCAGTACTTTTCTCGAACACTACAACTCAAAGGCTTCAATTCGTCCGTCATCCTTATTCACTGTCCATCTCTCAAATGCCTAGCAAGTGACTGAAAAGAACATGACTTGAAACAGGCACACCTTAGTCCTCAAACTGACATCATTGCTCCTCAGTAATTTGGAAAAGTGCCTGACTACAGACTTACCTAATGCAATCAATCTCTTGATCTCTAACTGCTGTTACCAAGTATATTGATTGTGGATCCCAGTAAGATGAAGTCATTGACAGTTTCAAACTTTTCCCCATCTATCATGATGCTGCCTATCAGTCCAGGGGTGAAGATGTTTGTTTTCTTGATATCAAGGTGGAGAGGTAGGAATACTCAGTTAATGGATGAGAGCAACCAGCTCCTACCTTTTCTCCTGGGCTGCCTTTCGGTCCTGGAAGTCCCAGTTCACCTTTTTCTCCCTGGAGCAAGATATAAAATTCTAAAACATTAGAATGTAAACTGGGTTTAATAATCACTTCCTCCATGTAAAAGTAATATGTGAGGCACCGCCGAGTCAGTTGTAACTTGTAATGACCCCAGACTGTCTAGTCCAGGACCAGCCTCCCCGACATTGATGGGCTCGAGCCTCTGGGTCAGTCTAGCTCCCGGGGTGGGGGGTTGGGGGGCGGGTTTCCCATTCCCTCCTTGTCATGCCTCTGCTTCACCAAGTGGGGCATCCTTCTCCATGGACTGGTCCCTCCTAACGTGTCCCAAGAATGTGATACAAAGTCATGCCCTCCTTTCTTCTAAGGGGCACCCCTACTGCACTTTTCTCAACATAGATGTGTTTCTTTTCTGCTAGTTCATGGGATATTTAATATTCTTCAACAATGCCACAACTCAAAGGCATACTTTCTTCTGTGGTCTGCTTTACTCATTGCAAAAATTTCTCATGTATATGAGGTGATTGAAAAGACCATGTAATATGATGTTGGCTAAATATATTTTTGTTTCCTTCTGAACTGCCCTTGTGATCATAAAACAAAATTGTGTAAGATGAATCTCCGATCAAGGGGCTGCCCTGACAGCTAACTGTGATGCGCTCAGCTCCCTGTTTGGCACCAGAGGACCTAGTGGGTGACACTTTCCATGCTTACGTCCCCATCAGTTCCACCTGAGGTCTCCCTGCTCTCTCAAAGGAGGTCCATGGAATAAGGTAGCCAGTGGATGGAAGTCAAGCTGCGTCTTCTGTTTATGCTCCATGGAAGGTGGAGACATGCTGGAGACATTCGTCTAGGCCCAGCCAACCCATTGTCCCACCAAGAGATGAGATCCAGGTCCTAAGCCACTCACCTGCTCTCCTTTCACTCCCCTCAAACCTGGGAATCCCGGAGCACCTGGGAGACCTGCTTCTCCCTGTGAAGACACAAGGGTGGTTCCCGTTCATCAAGCATGATTATAAATGACCTTCTATCAGGTAGACCCCAGCAAGGGGCTCTCCAGTGTCCTGAGCATGGCTTAGTGGGAGCATGTGGAAGGCAGCACAATGGGGACAGGCTAATTGGAGAACTGTCACGGGGTTGTACCCACGAAGCAGTGGAGGAAGGTGGGTTCTAGAGAGAGGAAATCTCTGGGGCGTGCCTGCAAAGCCACGGAGAAAAGTGGATTCCAGAGAGTGTGCTTATTGGTGTGTACCCACAAAACCTTGGAGAAACATGGATAATAGAGCGTGCCCTCGTGCTCTGTGGTGTGCCTGCAGAATAATGGAGGGAGAGGGAGGTGGGTCTTCAGGATGCCCTCACGAGACGTGCCCTCAATGCCATGGGAAAGGATGAAAGGTGAGTTCTTGCACATGCCCTCAGGGGGGTCGGCCCATGGAACGCTGGAGAAAGGTGAACTCTTTTTTTCCTTTTTTTTTAAAAACTTTTAAAATTATTGCTAATTTTAATGAAAGTTTACAGAGACTTTGGATTTCCATTGTTGCACTTTTCTCCACAAAGGTGAATTCTAGAGTGCGCCCTCTAGTGAAGAGTTAGGCTCTTCCTCACATCAGCTCTTCCCTCCCCCTGGAACCTTTGTTTCAACCACCTAGAAGTCTACTTGCTATGTGTCTTTTATGTCACTACCTTGATTTCATTTCCTCACCCCCTTGCCTGACATTCTCCAAGTCTGAGTGAGAAGTCCTCTCCTACTGCCCTCCCCACACCTGTTCAACTGCTGTCCAGTGACCAGGTCATCATATTTCAGTTAACGGTTTAGTCCCCAAGACAGTGGCTGATACACAGTAATCAAATGATCCTAAACCCAGCGCCATCAACTGTGACGCACAGCAGCCCTGGAGGAGAGAGTGAGAGCTCACGCGTGTCTAAGGCTGTAAAAGTCTGTGGAGGCAGAGAGCCTCATCTCTCGTGGCGCAGACGCTGGGTTCGAACCATCACCCTGCGGTTATCAACTGGATTCTTTAATCATTGTGTCATCATTATCCAGACTATGCACAGGTGTTACTGTTGTTAGGTGTCATCGAGTCGAGAATGAGTCATGTGACCCTGTGAACAGCAGATGGGAACCCTCTCTTACCCTGTGCCATCCTCACAATCTCCGACTCACTCGAGCCCACTGCACAGTCACTGTGTGAACCCCCTGGATGAGGGTCCACCTGGCTGCTTGCTGTCGACAGACAGATACCAGCTACTGTCTACTGAGTAAATGGACATAGAAAGTTAATTCCGTGAGCTCCTGGGAGATAACGGATACACAGTCTAGTGTATATTAAAGAATAAACGAATTTAATGAAAAAGGAAACGAGTGACTGAATAAAATATGAACAAACAGACCTTCTCTCCAGGTCGGCCTGCCAGGCCCTGCTCTCCAACGTCACCCTGGAAACAGAATCACAGACACGCCATTAGGTCATGCTCATATTACAGAGAATGGCTATCCCACCTCAGCTGGCCCCCACATCCAGAGCCTGGTCACAAGCACAGGGACTCACAGGTTGTACAAACCAAGGGCTTAGAATTTCCAGAGCAGGGATTACATGGTCCTTCAGTGGCCTTCTGACCTCCCAAAGGAAACCACTTCTGAACAACCATCAGAGAGTTCACTCCGGTGGACTCCACAGGTCCCAAAACTACAGTCAGAAACCAGTCCAAACTTCAACTTGTGAGTCAGTCCAACTTGCATTGCTACACACCTGGAGAAGAAAGAGGCCCTGCTGGGTGACGGGTGAAGGAAAATGTCACTGCTGAATTGGCCAAGCCGCTGGTACTTGCATGAGTGTTGGTCAGTCCTGCTCTGTGAACAGAACTCACTGTGGTTGGCGAGCAGTGAGAGCTTCGTTGCTCCTCTCCTGGGTGGTCTGTTGTGACAGTGGTAAGACTTGGATGAAGCTCCGTTAAATATCCAAACTTATGTCAGAAAGTAAGCCCTAAACATGCATCTGCTGATCCGTCCGCCTGGATGACGTCTGTGTTCAGCCTCCAGGTTCTCACATTACAAAGAGGTGTGTGGTGGGGCACTGAGAAGGGGCAGCAATGTCTAACCCACCATGCGCCTTGGAAAGAACTCAAAGAGTAACTACGTTTTGTTTTGACTTTTCATAAAAATGCTGTAGTTTGAGTGCAACTTTACAGCACGCATTCTTCTTCCATTGAGCGTTTTGTGCACATTTGTTCCATGACATTGGCCGTAGGCCCCTCAATGTCCCAGCATTCTTCCCACCTCCTCCCTGTGTCTCCACGCCCACTCTTACTTCTTCGCTGCTCCTCCCTGTCCTCTGCACTCCTTGTTTGGGGAGATTCTTCCCTTTGGGGCTGTGGTTATCACTCTGGAGAAGCACATCCCTCTCTGGTGTTATTCAATGGAGACTTGTTTGTTGCTTGGCTGGAAGGTGTGGTGCTTAGGAGTGAATTCCATTACAGGCTTGAAGGGTGTTCAAAGGCCAGAGTCTCCAGGATTCTACTAACCTCCGTCAGACCAGTAAGTCGCCTCTATTTTATTATTTTGAATATTGTTTTGATATAGTTTCTCTCCTTCCCTCTCCAGGTCCTCCTCCTCTGAGCAATCACCAGGTGAGCACTGGGCACCATCCACTTCTTCTGATCTCAGCACAGGAGAAGCTGGCGGCCTAGTGGACAGAAAGTTATGCTACCAAGTCCAAGGTGGGTGATTTTAATCTGAGGCCCTCAGGCCTGGTTCAAATTGTTTTTCTGTCAAACATTCTTCTAGGTGGTATAGCACGGGTCTGTGCATTGCTGTACAGAGTTAACTTGTGGTTGCTGTGATGCTGAACACTGTGACACTGATGTGCCAAATGTGATAATGGTTACCCATAGTGGACAGTGTTTGCTGGAGCTTCCCGATTAAAACAAGCCTGGAAGCAGGAGTGGCATCCACTTTTGAAATGGCTTGCCTCTGGAAACTCAACAATGTTCAGCCCTTTCGTTCATAGGGTCGCTATGAGTCGTCTACAACTCGACGGCACCTAACAACAACAACATCCATTCTTTGGACTAATTACGAAGGTTACTTATAACAGCTGTTATGCTATTTTACCAAGCCTTTGGTGTAAATTCCTAATGAGTGGTAGATGAATGAATGACTGAACAGGAGTTATACACACTTGCAGGACTTTTCACAGGGCTATGACAGATTTTAACAACAGTGAAGTCTAGAACACCCTCACTTCTCAGAAAGGCAGGTAATGAAAGTCTTGAAATGCACTGTTTAGTGTCGGCATACACTTCGCCCTGCAGCTCGAGTCACAGCTGAAGCTGGTGCCTGGAGTTGGCGTATATTGAAATTCCAGACACGCTCCAATTCTCCCATCAATTCCCCATGTTTATAAGCACAATTATTCAGAATTGCTCTAACTGGAATTGTGCAAATACTTGTCACTCAAATTGTCACTTCGAATCTTCTAGGATGGGAGCAAATCTGCAGTAGGAATTGCTTCGTACATGCTGAGAAGAGAGAAGGCGCCAAGCTGGCTGGAGCGGCCTTCTAAAGGGCGGCGGAAGCGCGCTCCGGATCTGCGCTCTGAGGTCACGTGCACGGTCAGCGTGGGGAGGGGCCAGGAGGACGGAGGATGGGGGACTCCATCCGCTCCTGGGACCTCCAGTCATCGTACATCCCCTGGGTGGATGTGCTGAATCTGATTTCTGTGACTTGTCTTCTTGGCAAACAGTCCTTATCTGCACTCTGCACTTTGGTAAAGTAACATGACTCCATGCCAGGTATTCTCTGGGACCACTGAATAAACTATAAGAACCTAGTAACTGCAGAGATCCCTCCTGCTGAACTTTTTTTAGAGATATTTGCTTAAATATATCATGATAAGAAGCACACAAAAGCACACTACTGTGAGAAAGGCCCATAGACTTCTTTGGCTGAATACGTCAGTCACTGGTGATTATCTGAAATCTAAAATATGTACATTAAAAGACTAAGGGGCTGGGGAATCCCAGGCTGTCTCTAATTCAATCCCAATATCCCTTAGGATATTGATAGGCAGGATAGTGTGTGGGAACTCCAGGAAAAATAGGTTGTTTCTGAATATTATTGAATAGAATCTCAAATAGATGCATCGGAACCCAGAAGCACTTGTTAATTGTCAAATTTGAAAGAACACAGTTACGAAGTATGACCAACTCCACAGAATCCCCGGAGCCAGCTATGTTGGAGGACAGCAAACATACGCAAAGGTGTCAGGATCTTTCAGGAAACGGACAGAACCTCACCCAACAAATCAAACCCTAGGTGGTGGATTGCTTTTATGACTACGTGGTTCCTCCTCATACAGCCACGACCTCAGGAGACACATGGATAACGTTCAGCAAATAACAGGAGTACATTTCAGTGATCGAGGATCATGGCGAGAACATGAGGAGGCAGCTGTAGTTACACACGGCAGTTGGACTCCCGGGGCACTAACGGGTGTGAGAAACTCGGCGCTGGGATCCCGGATGCTCCACATGGAAAGTTCCTCATGACTCGTGACAACGTTCTTCTCCGTAATTCAAGATGATCGGAGCGTCTCCGCGACAGCTCCAGCCGTAAGTGGAATCTGTGCTGCTCCTGCCCTTCCTCACTTGGCCATTTAAGGAAGGAGCACTCTGGAATAACAGCAACAAGAAATCAAAGAATCCAGAGATTTTTTTTTCCTGTCAGTAACTTCTCTAATTTGAAAAGTAAACGATGTCCCAGAGTGCACTCCTCGACTCTGTTGAGTCTGGACCCTCTCCTGGAGGAACAGTCCATTCCTGCTGCAGCAGACCCCCCTGAGGACCCCCAAGGACTTGACCGCAGGCCTGGAAGATGCTCGGAGGACGAACATGAGGTCCACAGCTTCATGTTGTCCGTATTCCAGGACAGTGGGAGGCTCCCCGGTGCAGGGGGCAGTGGAGGAAAAGCACACCTCCACACAGCATTCCATGGGACCACCAGGACCACAGACACGTGTGCACACACACACACACACACACACACCTGTGTGTGCAGACACTCCACCAGCCCAATTTCTTTTCTACTCACTGCATTCTAAGTGCAGAAATAAGTTGAGATATTGAGGTAAACACCTCAGGGTAACAGGCAGCAGAGTCCTGCAGGAAACCTTTGCTATGAAGCTGTTCCTGGACGGACACCTGGCCACAAGGTGACAACTTTGAAACATAGCTCTGTGCTCACAGGAGGTGCCCTGTCCAATCCGTAGTCACGTAGTCTCCGTCCGTCCCTCTCCCTCTCCCCCCCATCCCCTGAGACCCACCAGTCACACATCCCCCCACTACTCTGATCCCTACTTTGGGGTCAGCTGGGCTTCCTTGCTTTCCAGGCTCTGAAGGCTCCCACTGGAAAAACACTGGACGGATTAACACTCAGGAAAACAGCGTCGTGTCTGAGGAGACCTTTTCTCCCCTCCACCTCCAAGGAGAGTAGACAAACCATCAAAAAATCCCACTGCCAAAAAATCACGGAGTCAATCTAAACACACAGCAACCAAACAGGACAGAGCAGGCCCGCCCTAGAGTGGCCAGGGCTGTGCCTGTCACACAGGCTGGCCACGTGCCTTTCTCCCAAGGAGTGGCTGTTGTTACTGTGAAGTGTCATCTGGATGGAGCCAACTCAGAGCTGACCTCGAGCAGGCGTCTGGCAGGTATGAACTGCATGGAAAGAGACTGACACTCATTTTCCCACAGAGCAGCCGGTGGATTTGAACTGCTCTCCTCTTCAGTGGCAGTGCAATTCCTTGCCCATTAGAGGCCACCAGAGCTTCTTCAAGGAGAGATTGTTGTTGTTGTCATATGCTGTTGAGTCGCTTGAGACTCATAGCGACCTTATGTACAACAGCCCTAAACTCTGCTCTGTCCTGTGCCAATCGCACCGTCTCCGACACACCCATCCCAATTATCCCAGTTACTGAATCAATCCATTTCATAGAGGGTCTTCCCCTCCTGCGCTGTCCCTCCACCCTACCAAGCATGATGTCCCTCTCCAAGGACCTGTCTCTCCTTACAACATGTCCAAAGTATGTTAAATGGAGGCTCAGAATCCTTGTCTCCAGGGAGCTTCCCAGTTTAACCCTCTCCAGGATGAACCTGTTTGTTTTCCTAGCAGTCCATGGTACCCTCAATACTCTTCTCCAGCATCACAGCTCAAAAGCATCAATTCTCCTTCTATCCTCCTTAGTCACTGTTCAACTCTCTGATGCATAACAAGTGATTGCAAAGACCATGGCCTGTATCAGATGCACTTTAGTCTCCAGAGAGACACCATTGCTCTTCAGTACTTAGGAGAGATTAGTGGGTTCAAATAGCTGGTCTGGTTACCAGCTGAGCACGTTATGGTTCTCTCTCAGGGGGGCTCTGCTGTGTGGTTTACAGCACAGTTAACCCAACTGTTCTGGGGGTTCCCCTATGGGGCAGTGATGGAAAAGATAGGCAGGCTCCTCCCTTTGTAATCTAGGACTTTGGAAAGCCAACAAAGTGTCCCTATCTGTTGGAGAGAACGACAGGTCTGTCCCAGAGAGGGTGAAACCAAGCTGCTCCTTGGAGGCAAGGACTTTGAGGCATGTAGCCAGGAGGGACCAGTCTTTGGAGAAGGAGATCATGTCTGGAAGGTCAAGGGGCAGAGCAGAAGAGGGGACCCCAGATGGATGGATTGATACCATAAGTACAGTAATGAAGGTAGGAGTGTCAGGGACAGTGAGATTGGCTCAGGACGGAGCAGGGTTCAGAGCCACTTGGCATAGAGTGAGTCATCATTGACTCAACGGCACATAATGAAAACAACAACAACAAACGTGTTGGAACGGACTGAACAGCCACGAGTGGATATTCTTCTCAAACTCCAGCTCTTGTTGGGGAATTCCTCTCTTCCAACTACAGGTCTGGCAGGTCCCAGGAACCTGCTGCCCCTCTGCTCTGCTCTCCTGGGGTGACCACAGTTCTGTCATTGCTGTCCGTGCTGCAGCCCACAACCGGTGGGCACCTGAAATCCAGCTCACACCCGTTCTAGTCCTGTTTCCTACCAGACACAGCTGATTACAGACATGCTACGAGGTTGGGGTCACACACACATACACACGCCCCTCGTCCAGGAAACAGAGCACAGTCCATACCCGAAGGCCAGGTCTCCCTGGGGGACCATCTTCTCCTCTTTCACCTGGCTGCCCCTGCGAGGAGAACAAGGCACATCAGTAAGCCAGGTTGCATCATACTCAGTACTAGTTACAAAGAGCATTACATGCCTCCCACTGCTAACCAAAGGTTAAGGGTTCAAATCCACCAGCTGCCTTATGGGATGAAGATGGGCAGAATCCTCCCATAAAAACTCACAGCCCTCGAGACCTGACGTAGGGCCCCGGGAGGTGGGTCCTGAGCAATGGCAGAGGCTTTGCTAGGTGGTAGCACTAGTTACAGAAGGAACCTACAGCTTGTCCACAGGGGGATCAGGACTCCTTTACCCTGTGAGACTGTTCAACCAGCCCATAAATCAGCTGCTGTAGCATCCCCCCTGATCTCTGAGACCCCACACATGTCAGAGTCAACGCTGTTTCACCTGGATTTTCATGGCTGCGACTCCTTTTTGAAGCAGATTTCAGACATTTCACCAAGCCAGCCGGGTGGGCCTCCACCTTCAAACTTTCTGTCCCCAGCCAAATACACCAATCCTGCCAGCACTAGAAACTTATGCTAGAAAGCCTAGCCTTTGTTTTTTTTCTTTTTTTGTTGAATGAAATATAAATGATGATAACCAGTGCTGTTTTATTTTGGAGAGATCTAGAATAAGAGTTATTAAGTGGTTTTGAGAACACAAAAACTTGACTAGCTAGCATCCTTAAAATATGAGAAAAGTATAGAGAATATTTACATAAAATGCCTGTAAAATTAACTTAAGTCCACACTAATTTTGTATTTTCTTATTATAGAAGTTGAGTTTTCAGGTCTAGTTACAGGATAAGTCTTCTCATAAAACCAAAAATATCTTAGTAGTCTTTGAAGGTCTTTCAGCCTTGCTTGCTGAAACTGAAGACCTGAAACATGTGCTGCAGAAGGTCAAGGACTGTAGTCTTCAATATGGATTGAAGCTCAACATCAAGAAGACAAAGATTTTCATCACTGGAACAACTGACAGCACCATATTAGATGGAGAAGAGATTGAGGTTGTTAGCAATTACACCTCACGTGGCTCCACAATCAACACTCTTAACACCAGCAGTCAGGGAATCAAAAGACAAATTGCACTGGGAAAATCTGCTGTTAGGGACTTCTCCAGAGTGCTGAAGAGCAACGATGTCAGTCTACACACAAAGGTGCATCCTATCCAGGCCATGGTCTTCTCAATTACTTGTTATGCTTCAGACAGTGACTAAAGATGACAGAAGAAGAAAAGATGCCTTCAAGTTGTGGTGCTGGAGAAGAGTCTTGAACAATCTATGGACTGCTAAGAAAAAACAAATAGGTCTGTCTTGGAGAGGGTGAAATCAACTCTCTCCTTGGAGGCTAGGATTTTTACCCTCTACCTCACTTACTTTGGGCACGTGGCCAGGAGAGGTCGGTCCTTGGAGAAAGGACCCTGCTCGGAAGGGTGGATGAATAGCACAGGAGAGGGAGATCCCAGATGAGATGGATTGATATAGTAACTGGGGCAATGGGGGTTGGTGTGTCAGAATTAGTGAGACTGGCTCAGGATGGGGAAGGGTTCAGAGGCGCTGTGCATAATAAAGTTGCTATGCATCACAGGCGACTCAGCCAATAACATTCTAAGACAGGTTTGGAAGCAGGAGTGGCATCCACTTTCTAAACAACATGCCTCCAGAAACTCTGAACTTGGATAAATGTCACTATTTGTAGAGGGGCTGTCAGGCCTTTTGTTCATAGGGTCGCTATGAGTCGTGCTCAACTTGAAGACAATCAACAACAATGTGTGCATACGTGTGTGTATATGTGTGTGTGTGTGTGTGTGTATACACATAAAGTACATACAACTTTCTTACTGATTGATTTTAAGTTTCAAGGCTTCCAAATCCTCTCCTAGTTTTCTTAGTTGATCTTGTAAGTCTGTATGTTTCAAATGAGTCCTGTCCTGAGCCTCAAATAATCCATTTCCTTTAAAACTCTCCAGTAACCTGAACCCCTTCTGCATCTGTTTTGAATTCCAAATGCAAGTGGCCCGAGCACACCCACCTTGGGTCCTGGCAGGCCAGGTGCTCCATCCAGTCCATCTTTCCCAGGTGGCCCCTGTGCCAACGGGAGGGAAGACAGACAGCATTAGCAGGTGTGTTAGGGAAGCACCCACGGTACTACTTCAAGCCACACGCTGCTTTTGCAGCTAAAACTGAGGGTCACGGGTCCTCTCTACTTTGTTGGATTCACATCTGCAGACTGTGGTCTCGGGAAGACCACAGTCTCCTGACACAGAAACCAAGTCCGCTGGTCAGGGCTCTGGACAGTGCAGGGAGGGAGAAGGGCTGGTTTCTCTGGAAGCTGCGTCTGGTGGCTGTTTCTATTCTCAGTGTTGGAGAGACAGGAGTTCACCCTGCTGCCATTCCTTCTCCGTAATCTCTCCGTCATTCCCTCCCTCTCCACCAATATCTTCTTTTCCCATTGCCCTCAAAAATGCCATTCATTGCTCTGCTCGGTATTACTCTATCCTGCCTTTTCTTTGCAGTGACAACACCCATGTGGCTTCTGACACCCCAGCGGCACAGCTTTCAGTATCACAGCCAAGCCTCTGAAGGGCCCCACTGAAATGTACGCTTCCGGTCAGCTGGACATCTCTGTGCAGACGTGAGGCCAGACCTCACCCAGCAGTGCCAGGAAGAACCCGTTCCCCACACACCATTTCCCACATCCCACATCCATCCCATCCATCTGTGACCCTGTAGGGCCCCTGCCGGAGCAGTGGTCACCCATCTACCAAGCAGATGACCGCAGAGCCCACGTGCAGTGCCAACTCCTCGGCCATGTGAGAAGCAAGAAGCCACAGAAGGACACCGGGAACCCATCACGCCAGCGACAAAAAGGAGCAACTGTCTGATTATGAGTATGTGAAATGCACCCATACACAGGTACCAAAGCAGCGCTGGTAGCGTGGTGGTATGTGTTGGGCTGTTAACTTAAAGGCCAGTGGTTCGAATACACTAGAGGCTCTGTGGGGGCAACACGGGCTGTCTCTTCTCATAAAGACTCACAGTCCCGGAAACACAAGGTCCCTGGGTTTGCTTTTCTGGTTTTTTTCTTCCATTCTTTCATAGAAACCAAAGTTTCTTAAAGTAACCAAAGTGGTAACAGCATGGCCGGGAGGGTGAAGGGGAGTGTTTTTGCTTAGAGAGCCCTGAGGTGGATGGAGAATAATTAGGAAAAGGACGGGGACCTGAAGGAGTAACCAGAGTCACTGCATCCTGTATCCAGGAAACACAGGATTAGAATGTTGTGCTGAGTATAACTGAGCCACAATTAAACAAACAACAAACAAAAACAACAGTGGGAGAGGACAGGAAATACAGCAGGAAGGTGAAGTGCAAAGCAGTGGGCCGGGGCATCTCTCTCCAGGGCCCAGGGACACCTCCTAGGCTCCTGCCTCCAGGTCACAGCCACACCAGGCAGGTGACCCCACAGGGTGCAGAGGGAAACGGTCCCAGGGAGGAGCTCGGGCCACTCACCACTGGTCCTGGAGGCCCCGATTTTCCTGGGAAGCCGATCTCGCCCGGCAAGCCCTGAAAAGGAAGCCGACTCAGGAAGCTGAACTGAGCCCACAGGTCAGAACCATCCTCTCATTCCCTCTCCTGAACAGGTGGGGTCTCTGTGACATCTGGGGGAGACCTCCCAGCATGGACCTCACCCTCACTGATCACTGAGGGGGAGCTCTCTGTCATCTCTCCAGGGCTGTGAGCTTCAGTCTGGGCACCGTCTACCTGGTGGGCTGGGGGGATGTGCCCTCTGCCTGATGACTGCACCCACCGAGCAGGTATGGTCAGCTGCAGTCTGCGGTGGAAGCGTGCTCTCCGGCCCTGCCCTCTGCTCCTATCGCTGGACAAGTGTGGGACGTGCTGGCAACACCCCACCGGGCAGCCTCAGCCCAGCGCCCACCACAGCTTAAACAAAGCCAGTGCCACAGCTCCCCACAGGGTCCTGTGTGCTCTAGGGTCCCACACCAGGCAGGCTGGGGCTGTAGGGTCATCCCACCCGCCTGGGACAAGGGAGGACACCCCGACCCTAGTGCTCTGGGAGAGAATGTCACCTCCAGTCTTACCGGGGGGCCTCCGTGTCCTGGGGGTCCTGGGACACCAGGTGGTCCTGGGGGGCCCTGCAGAGAAAAGTTTAGAGCAGGTTACCACGCACAGCCCCCACTGACAGGGACCTGGGTGAGGGAGGAGGGGGTGGGGAGGCCTTCTTCCGTCAGTAAAAAAGAACCAAAGTAAAAAGCAAATCCAAAAACAGACGTAAAAGTCCCAACACGCTGGCACGTGCTCTGTTCGGGTTGTGGGTGTGGCTGTTAGGGCTGCGGAGCCTGCCAGACCGTGCGCTTCAAATATGAAAACGTTCGGAGGGGCTCAGGGTCTCCTGTGACGTCAATGTGGGCATTTTCCTTCTTTCCTGCTTTTTCATTTTCTTTTGCTGTTTGTTCTTGTGCAACGTCCTCAGCGTCGTCCCACAACTCAGGCTGTCCATCCCTGAGGGGCCTGTGAAGCCCTCAGAGGCCAACAGAAATGGTGGTGGACGGGCCCAGCAGAGCACACGTTCCCACAAAGGTGCCAGCTGTGGAAACCGTACCCCTGCTCTGCCCTGGGGGTCGACCAGAAGTGCACGGTGTGCAGTTCTCCTCCGTCTCACGTGAGGGTCCTGAGTCAGCACCAGCCCCCGACCAGGAGGGGAATCGGCGTGGATTCAACAACACGCACGCGTGCGTGCACACAACAGGTGATTTATTTACGCATGTTCACGCAGGCGCACACAGTAGGTTATTTTTAACGGGGGTACATTCACCCACACAGAGGGTCTTCTGCTCATTTTTAGGTGCACACGCACACACACACAGAGGGCTGGCCACAAACAGAGGCCTGCTGGAGCGGTGCTCTTCACACTTGGGCCCCTGGACCAGGCCCCCCTGTCGGAGTCAGACCCCATAGGGCAAACACTAGTGAACAGCAATGTTCCAGGGTTCTGAGGCCAGGAGCCAGCCGGTTTCAGTATGTTAAAGCTTGGCCAACTGTCCTCATAGAAACCAGACTTAATCTGTGGACATTTATCTTGGGCACCAAAAAACCCACCCCAAGCTATTGCCATTGACTCAACTCTAACCCTCACAGCACGCCCGGAGGGCAGAGAGCTGACCCACACGGGACTCCTAAGGTGGTAAATCTTGACACAAGCAGTGGCCTCATCTTTCCAGCCTGGAGGGTCTCGACTTCTAGACACACTGTCAACTTCTCTACCCTCTGCAGCACCAGGGCCCCTCGACCAGGCCCAGCACCCATGGGGCATCACTCCCTCCCCACACCTGTACCAGGGGCAGGATCGGAAGGGGGCACAAGGATGCACAGAACAGGAGACAGGTTCTAGTGCCAGGAGCTCTCCCAGACCTCGCGGAGGGTGAGAGGTGGGAAGAGACACAGCACAGACTTCTCACCACAAAATGAGAAGCCACGCCCTCCCAAAGGGAGCCCTGGGAGCACAGCGCTTACACGCCCAGCTAGGAACCAAAAGGTGGGTGGTTTGAAACCACCAGCTGCTCTGCAGGAGCTAACACCTGGTGACGTACTTCTGCCAAGACGGCCGCTTAGAAAATTATAGGTAACTCTCCTCTGTGACGGGGGCACCGTGGGTCAGAAGAGACCCAGTAACAATGATGACAACAACAAAGCCATCCGCAAAGCACACCCTGCACCTGGAGAGAGGAGGATGAAGGGTGAGGAAGGCCGAGTGCTGCACAGGGCAGGACTCACTGGGAGGCCAGGTGGGGGAAGGCAGGTGGGCAAGCGTGGGGGCAGGGGAACCAGCGGAGTCGTGGTTTGGTGCAGAGGGGCTGAGACCTCAGGCGGAGCCTAGAACAGCAGGACAGGGCCGGGCTCCACGGTGGGGGTCTTAGGAACGGCTCCAGGGCCTAAGAAGACACGTTTCTGAGACAGGGGACAGCAATCTGGATGGAGACGGGAGAGGGCCAGGTGGACACGGGATTACAAGTCTGAGGTCTGTCACCATCACAGGACAGGAGCAGTGAGAGGGTGAGAAACTGCACATTCTCAATACCGGGATGACACACACAGCAAGCACGTTCTGCTCCAGAACCAACGTAGTAACGTGACCACTGCAACAAAGCCAGTAACACGAAGCTTTGCATTTCTCAGTGCACATACAAATTACGCTCCCCTGCGCTGCTGGCCACTAAGCGTGTGTCGTTGTTTCGTCAGGAGAGCACGGCGGTCCTGTGTGTAACAGACACTGCGCCGTCCTAACATCCTCTGCTGCACTTAAGTCCTGGCTGCGGTCACTGTGACGCACCATCTCTCTGAGGGTCTTCTCTTTAGATGGCCCTTCACCTTACCAAGCATAATGTCCTTTCTCAGGAACTGGACCCTCCGTATAACACACCCGAAGCATTTGGGACAGAGTGTCACCATCCTGGCTCTAAGTCCCACTAGACAGACTTGTTCTTTCGGCAGTCTGTATACGTGCAGTACTCCTCACTAAGCCCACAGCCGCACGCCATCAGCTCCTCTTTATTTACCACCTTCCACATGCGTATGAAGTGGCTGAAAATGCGAACACTTGGGCCAGGCACACATTAGCCCTTACACTGGGATTCTTGGCCTTAGGACCCTAAGGAGGTCCTTCACAGCAGATGTGCAAGTGTCTCAATCCTTCACTGAAAACATTGTCTCAGCTCTTCACCGATGCATCAAGTGTCTAGATGTGGAGCCAAGTTAAATGAAATCACTGAGGCATCCATATTTCTGCCTTTATCATGTTGTCATGTTGTTTGTGGCCCCAGGGTGTAGTGTGTAATTGTGTCAGGACGCTGAACAGAGCCAGCAGTTTGAATTCACCAGTTTTTCTGATGGAGAAAGATGGGCAGTCTCTTTCCATAAATATTACTGCCTTGGACGCCAGGAGAGGGTTGCTATGCATCAGACTTAATTGGATGGCAAAGTGTTTAGCACACAACAGCGTTATGACAAAGTATGAAATGAGACTCACCAACACGTGACATAGAGATACCGGGTGAGCGTGTGTTATTGGGAAAAGGGATAGACTTTCTCAGTGTGGGGCCACCACACACCTTCAATTTATAAAAACTATCTGTCAATGCAATAAAGTGAAGCTCAATAAACAAAGTTGTCTGTACTTATACGTTCAATTAGACCCCTGCCCAGGAATGGTATCCTCTTTCCAGCACATGGTTACTCCACAGCTCAAGAATCCTCAATGGCATCCCTAGCCCTAAGAGAGATGCAAATTAAAACAACTATGAGATATCATTTCACCCCAGGCAAAATAGCAAAATTTAACAGAACAGCAAGCAACAAATG